CCTCTGTGGCAGAAGGGACAGCAATGGACTTTCATCGTGTTGAGTGTGGTGCCTGTAGTTAGACAACCCATCAGTGGCTACTGTTAGTGACATTAGCTGTCACCGTCATAGCTCAGCCTCAGAAAACCCAACTGCGCTAAAATTGTAAACTTGGGTACCTCCGCGACAACAGGGTCCTGACATGTCTGTACTCCAGCTCCCTTCTTAAGATGGAAAGACGCTTCAACTTGATGCCACCTCTGCCTCTGACTTAAGTGAGCACAGCAGGAAAGCCCCTCCCTCCCAGGTGTGGTATCGCCAGTGACACCCTAAAGCCGACAATGGACCAAAGTAGCCAGTATTTTTGTAGGACGGTTATCTTTGAACTTTGTTCATTCATGTATCTTGTTTTGCCTGGAACTAAAAATGAGCAAGTGAAATCAAATTGGACCAGTTGTTCCTGCGTTGTCCCCCAGGGTCTTACTTTAAGCTGTAGAAAGTATTCTGGCTTCACCCAAGCCTGCCCTGAACCAGAAGCTCCCAGTCTCTTGGGCATGAATGCCATGCTGCACAGAGGTTCAGTGGTCATGGCTGGGGCCCTCAGTACACCCCAGGTGCTCCTCAGTGAACCATCACTCATGAATCTAGAAATCTCTGTGCACTTGTGTATGGCTCTGGCTACTGTTCCTTTGAGGGAATGAGAAACCACCATCTTCAGTTTCGTCCTCTTGTGAACGGCAGAATTTTCTCTTGTTTCTCTAAAAGCATCTCTTCTGCTTAGAGCCGTGCCTGTTGGTATTGCCCTTCCCTGCTGCTCACGGGAACTTGTCGATGCTGTTCATGCGCCTCTCGGCACTTGTCTTCCCAGACTTGGGCAGCATCCTGACTCCCTACAGCCTTTTATTTGCTCCAAGTCAGAGAAAAACAACCTAAGTGTCTAGTTCTAGCACCGTCTAGCTGTCTGGAAGTTTACCTGAATGCTAGTTTCTGTGTCTGAAAACCTCTAGCCACGGGCTGTACAGTGCGAGGTTTGGCAAAATAATGAAAAGCCCTTTCTCTTAATGAGAGTCTAGGAGGACACCTTTCAGGTGTCCTAAAGTCAGTTTCCAGGCAGGGAACTGATGGAGACAAGCAGGGTTGGAGTCAGCCAGTACAGGAAAGACTGCTGAAGGATCTAGAATGTCTGTGTCCTGGGATTCAGCTTTAGAAAGCACTTTTACCTTTATATGTATTTATTTATTACATGACTGTGTAGTGGAGAGAGTGTACCGTAGCACATGTGTGAAGGTCAGAGGGCTCCCCTCCCCTCATGTGGGTCCTGGGGATCCAACTCAGTTCACTGGGTTTGGCAACAAGCCCCTTTACCAGCTGAGCCCTCTCACTGGCCCATTTTCTCGTTCAAGGAGTCTGTCAGTGAGCATTCTAAGAACCTGGGACTCCCCCTTACCAGCTGATGCAGCCTGAGAATGAGACATTACTAACTTCAGCAACGGAAGTGACATGACTGCTTTTTTATCCTCTGATGACTCTTTTAGCGCCCTTGAAGCTGGCCTGCCTCCGTCTTGCAGGAGTGGCCCTCGCTGCCTGTCTTCCTGGAAGGGGTACTCCTCTGTCTGCTGACAGTCGGTGGTATGACCACACAGTGCCGATGGCATCCTTCCTCTTCAGAATTATTTGTAGAGTTCCGTTGAGCTGGGCATGGTGACTCATGGCCTATAACCCAAAACTCAAAGGACTGAGGCAGGAGGATTGTCATGAGGTTGAAGTCTGCCTGGGCTAGAATGAAATCCTGCCTCAAAAAAACAAAGGCTTGCTCTCCCCAACCCACAAGTGCCCCACTCACCAACGGGGACGTGTAGGCTGGGGCCTGTGACCTGGGCCATTCACCCCTAACCGCAGTGTGGCATTTCTTCCCTCTGGGGAAGGCCTGTTCCTTTACTTGTGGCACATCTGTCCTGAGCAAGGAGTTTCAGCCCTGTAGCCAGGCCTGCTGCCCTGAACCAACCCTCCCTGACCATGAGGCCTCCAGCCTGGCCACAAGGTGAAATACTCATCTAGCCCTGCAGGGGGCACCCTTCTGACGTCTGCTTTTCCCTGGCTATGAGGGGGCTACTGGGGACTCTCATATTCATTAATTCATCTTTCCTCCCGGACATCCAAGAAGCAGTAGTCAGCCCTGCTATTGTTGCCTCTGACTACTAGCCTTGGCAGATGATCCTGCTAGATGTCACGTCGAAACTGTCGGAAAGTTACTCAGCCTCCTGGAGGAAGTGATGAAGGAGCTCTGAGTGATGTCAGCTTTACAGCAGGCAAACACCACATCTGGGGAAAAGTGAAGCGCCACAGCCTCACAGGCCCCCACTAGCTAGACACAGGCCAATTAGGGCTGCTCCTCGGGACCACTCGGGTATGGCTGCAGCGACCCTGGAGCTTCCCCATTCCAGCTCCCAAAGACACTGCAGACTGTGTCTGCCCAGACTTCTGAACCCCCTGTGGGTTGAAGCAGGGATTTCCTCAACCCCTGATGACTATTCCAGACTCTTTCTGTGAGCTGGGCCGGGCTCTAGGCCCTATTAGTGGGTCTGTGGTCTCTCTTTCCCAGCTTCCCCAGAGGACAGTGATGTCTGCAGGATGAGTGTCGGGTCTCCAGGATGTAGGGGCCTCTCGTCAGCTTCACAACAACAGGAACTGAGCAGTTTTGAAACTCCAGCTGCTAGCAAGTGCCTGGTGCTGAGCTGCTCCCCAACCAGAACATTTGCTTTTCCTATCAGTCCCAGAGCTAATCAGACATGGTGCCTGGCCGAGATGGCCCAGGGCAGGGAACTGGGCCAGCCCGCCCTGCCCTGCGTGTGCACCAGCAAGACAGCCCTCCTTTGGATGCTGCCCAGTAGCCATCACCCCACCTTTTCTACCTGAGCGTGCTTTTAAGCTTTCCTTCATCTCTTGATATTATGTTGAGTTTTTAGACAGAGAAGAGAGAGGAGGGGAGAGGGGGATGAATGACAGGTGTGGTGCTACACACCTAGAATCCTAGCCCTCAACTAACATAAGAAGATTAATATAAATTTGGGGCCAGCCTGGGCTACATAACCCCATAGAGAAATAGAAAGAGGTGGAGATATGACTCAGTGGTTAAGATGTAGTAATGCTCTTCCAGAGAACTCAAGCACACACACACACACACACACACACACACATAGACACACGCACATATTCATACATACAGACACATATACACAGACACACACACACAGACACACACACATACACACTTTTTCATTTAAAAGAACAAAAGGAGAAAAAAATGCTGAGGGACCCAACCTTGGGAGAAGATATTGGGAGCTTGGGGGTCTTCTCATAAACTTACTTAGATAAACTAGAGGCAATGCTCCCCCCACCAGAAGCGGAGATGATACCCTGGCAAGCCCATCTTTTATCTTTGCCCTCAACACGCATGAGCCCTCCCCAGCCTTCCCACCTTGAACATCAGTAGGAATGTGCTTGCCTGTGAATCTGAGCGCATGCTGAGGTGTCCTGGGTGGCCACAAACACTTCTGTGGGTCCCAGACAAGGATGGTTTCCTGGTCGCCATGGCTTCACACTTGACTTTAGAACAGGGATGTAAGCCCACAAGCGTGTCGCTGTGTGGTGTGTGTTTTTATGACTCCCAATGGGTTGAGGATTAAGAATGTGTGCGCGTTCGTCTCTGAGGTGACTTTTACTGTATGTTGGTGGTTTCGGTGGACTACTTTCATAATCCAGAAGTCTGTGAAGCTTCTAGAAAAGTTTCAAGAGCAAATGTATCGCTGTAATTAAGACAAAGGGTTTAAAAAAAACTGCTGTTTAGTTGTAACATGTGCTTCATCCTTTCTGAGACCTTTGCCCTGAAGAGGACAGAGGGTACCAGAAAGGACCGGACGCATGCTTTCTAAGCAGAAGGCAGGTAGGCGGCTGTATGAAGGACCAAAGTGGGCTGGGGATGAAGCCAAACTGTAGAGTGCCGGCCTGGTTTCATCCCCAGCATTACATAAACCAGGTGTGGTGTCACACTCCTATAATCCCAGCACTTGGGACGTGGAGGCAGGAAGAGTTCAAAGACAGCCCGCTTACACAGTGAGTTCAAGGCCAACCTGGGCTACACGAGGCTCAAAACACAAAGAACCAGAAGTGTACACTCTACTTACAGCGGGCTTCTTGTTCTCACCCTGTGCTCTGAGGACTGAGAACAGGTGTCAGCGACTCTCACTGCGCCTGCTACTGCAGTTTCTTTATGGTGTGGACTCCATGAGATGGCCCGGGAGAGGGGACACTGCAGGCGCTTCTGCAGGGATCTTTGGGACACGGTTGAGGAGGTTATCTGCCATTGCCCACTATGTCTTCTTCAATAGCTCTCTGGACATGGAAGCGGGAAAGCTGAGCCCCGCCTGCCTATGTGTCTGTATATTTCTGTCCGATGAGCATCCTTGTTCATTCTGCCACGAGGCATAGAGCGCTGCCCCGACACCAGTGCTGGAATCACAGTCCTCACCACTATGTCTTTTTGTGGGGGCAGAAGAGCTCAAACTCGGGCTCCCGTGTTTGTCCAGCAAGCACTTTACCCACTGAGCTGTTTCTCTAGCCCCTTTTTGATTTCTAAGACAATGGGATCCAACTGGCCTCAAACTCAGTTTATGGATTAGGTTGACCTTGAACCCCTGACCCTTGCTCCTCTACCTTCTGAGTGTTGGGGTTACAGCTGTGTGCTGCCACACCCAACTACAAACAAATTATCATTAGGGCTATTATTAAAAAAAAACTTCTTTGCAAAAATGACTCAAACTAGCTATCTTTGAATTATACCAAAGCCTTTGGAGGAATTCTTTTATAATCTTAGAATAATAATCAGAGTTCTTGATGAAGACTCTGGGCCCTGGCTGGGCATTAGACAGTTGAGAGTTCTGCAGGGGGTGTTGGGTGGGGTCAGAAGTCCCTCCCAGGTATGAGCTGTGCCAGGTCTGACCTCTGTCTCTTCGCCCCAGCAGACTCCCCCGTGGCGGCTGCAGTGGTGTCTCACTTCAACGACTGCCCGGATTCCCACACTCAGTTCTGCTTCCATGGAACCTGCAGGTTTCTGGTGCAGGAGGAGAAGCCGGCATGTGTGTAAGTACCCCCTAGTCCCCAGAGGGCGGTCAGGCACCCAGTGAATAGAACGTTTACTTCTATGAAGCTGGCCAGGGATCTGAGACCCAAAGGACGGAAGCTGAAGGGTGAGAGCTGCCAACCAAGTGCCCAGGGTAGAGGAGGAGCCCAGGAGGCCAGAGCCGGGATCTGTTTTTAACAGCAATCTCTGACTAGAGTTTAGTTCTCTGCTTGGAGTTCCTGGGGGAAGGTATTGACCTGGGCACCCGCACCTCTGTAATGAAGTTCCCTTTCAGCCAACACTTTGTGTCCAGCCTGGGAAGTAGCCGGAAGGGACGCAGAGGGTCAGGACACATGCACACCTTGGTGGCTCCCATTTCCCTTGAGCCTCACAAAGTACTGCCAAGTGCCATGCAGGTGCTAAGCCTTCTCAGCACACGAGGACTGGGGAGATGGCTCAGAGGGGTAAGGCACTTGCCACTTAAGCCTGATGAGTTCAGATGCCCAGAACCCACATAAAAGCCAGATGCAGTAGGGTGCATGTCTGACACACAAACACACACACACACACACACACACAAACACACACACGCAGCCACTGGTAACTGCCATGGACAGTGGAGTCAGAGAGAAAGGCCACTTAACAGATGTGGGGCTGACCAGAGGACAAGCAGAAAGGTGTCCAGACCCAGGGTTCCAGACCCAGGGTTCCAGGGGCTGCTGCAGATCAGAGTGCACACCAGGGAGGGAGGCAGCAGATGCAGTTGGAGGCCAGAACCTGTTGGGAGAAATCCCTCACCCTCTGAGCAGAGGGAGCCTTGTTAAGTTCAGAAAGGGATATTTGCAGTTGTTCATCTGTCTGTGGCAGCTGTGACAAGATGGTCGTAGATGTGTCTGTCACAGAATTCACCTCAAGTCATCAAGAAAGGATTGGGCATTTTCCTCTGGCAGGTGAGCCCTACTCCAGAGAAAGGTCAGGGTTGCTCCTACCCACTCTTCACAAGACTTCTTCAGGGCCAAGAGCCGAGATTAGGATGTTCTGCCAACCTTGGAAAGCTGAGGCCATGGAAAACAGTGACCACCCTCTTCTCTCAGTTTCCCTACTGGATCTTGGTGGCCCAGGGGCAGTATTCAGTCGGCAGACATGTTAATATGACAGGTGACACTGTGTGTTCTTCTCTGGTGGCTCTAAGTCTTTGTGTGCATTTTAGAAGTTGGGCTTCACACTTTGCAGCTGTCACTCAGCTTCCCTTGACTCAACAGAAGACACAGTGCTGCCCTGACCTCCCACAGACCACAACTGCCCACACATCACCCAGCCACGGCTGCCCACGCATCACCCAGCCACTGCTAACCACACATCACCCAGCCATGGCTGCCCACGCATCACCCAGTCACTGCTAACTACGCATCACCCAGTCACGGCTGCCCACGTATCACCATGTATCATGGCTGCCCACATATCACCACGTATCATGGCTGCCCACGCATCACCCAGTCACAGCTGCCCACATATCACCACGTATCATGGCTGCCCACGCATCACCCAGTCACGGCTACCCACATATCACCACGTATCATGGCTGTCCTCTCCAGCTCTCTGGTTCCCACCTTTCCCCAGTGTTGCCTGACACCAAAGCAGAGTGTTGGTGTCCATCACCTGCCACCACCTCTATCTGCTTACAGTCAGCCACTCAGACATTCACATGGCCCTGAGTGCTGTGAATGATTGACCTTTAATCCTCAGAAGATCCATTTAGCAGCAGAGACTGTGGGGGGCATGAGGGCCATGCCCTACCCTCAGCACAGCACTCTGGGGGCACAGAGCTAGCGTGTCTGGACAAGGCAAGTTGTCGGGCCTGGAGACCTGGTGAGGTTTGCTTCTCTATCCCTTCTGGTGCATCAGCTGTAGGAGACAGGACCACACCTTGCTCCTTTTTAATATTTATAGTAACCAGAAGAATGTTCTAGCTACCTAATTCCCACCAGACCAGAAACTCTGAGTCTCTATAGAGAAAGTCAGAACATTCTGTCCCCGCTCTGAAGAACCTCCCACCTTTGAGGAGTTGACACACTCAACATTCTGGTCAATAAAACTGACAGACCTTGAGGTAGGGCCCCATCTGTCAGGGCCTCGTAAAGAAGCCCAGCAAGTTGAGAGTGTAGTACAGAGGCAGACTCTGCTTCCTAGCATACTCTCCCAGAAGAAAAAAGTCACTAGGTTTTCAGAAAACCCAAAGTGATATTTCATACTCTAAAACTAGAGAATGAAAAAGTACCACTAGTCAGATACTGTGAAAATCACCCTCAAATGTGTTTGCTTCAGATGAGCCCAAGATTGTTCCTCTGAACATCGTGGAAATCTCGCTGGCAGGACGAGATGCAAAAGCAGAAAACTGTGGAGATGGAAGGTCAGGGGAGGCCCACCCTTTCCCCAAGGTGCCCTGGGCAGGTGGCCGCAGAGTTCACACGGGTGATAGTGTGAGGAACCACAGGAGACTGAAGTTTCCCCCCTGTCCTGGATGTTCCTGGGAATGAAAACCCTGACAGAGACCCCAGAGCAAAACATCTCTCTCCCAGTCAAAGAAAATATTCCCCATCACTCTGCCCTCCCTGACCACTCTGTCCACGGTGCACACCAGTGAGTCTGAATAGCCAGACACCTAGAGAGAGAGGACCACAATGGGCATTCCAGCCCAGACAGGCAGCCTTGCAGCCACAGGAGATCAGATCCAGGTGGCATAGAAGCCCCCACAGACAGCTCTGTTAGCATCTGAACACCAGTGTGTGGGGAGAGGGTAGCATGACATCACACCACACCCATGACAGGACTGGAGAAAACCTATGTCCTGGTTTTGTTTTCTCCCCACCTCCACCTGAAGCAGACAGTAAGGGTCTCTTTGGATCTGGGGGTCAGATAGACCTGATTTAAAATCCAGATAAGTATCCCATACACTAAGTGGCCTGGCCGCATTTAACCTCAGATTCCCCTTAGGGACCAATACCTTAGAGACACGTAGTGAGGATTTCGTGGTAATTGCCGCTGTGCCTCTGGACACTTGAATTAATTAAATAGGGTTTAGTTTTCTTTTCCACGACTACCTTTTAAGCTCTGAACACCTAGAGGCGGCAGGAGGCAAATTCTGTAGTCATCACTGAAAACCTCCAGGAGACTGCCAGGCCCTGTTCCCCGCACAGCATAAGCCTACAAGTTTTGTCAGGAGGGGCTCACACAAGTGTCACCTTCCCCCTGGCTCAGGGACAGTGAAGGCAGCCCAAGAGACCCTTGACTCTGGGCTGCAGAGGAAGCCCTGCCTCCCAGCCCCATGGAAGAAAGAATAGGACCAGGTGAATCCATCTTTTTTGTTGTTTCGGAGCTGGGGATGGAACCCAGACCCCTTCACATGCTGAGCAAGTGCTTTGTCTCGGAACCACACCCAGCCCCGAATTCATTTCTCCAGAGAGCAAGAAAAGGTGAACTCGATCCTCATCCCACCAGTCCTAGGGAGTCCACTCCCAGCCCAGCCCTGTGGGGAGGTGCATATAAAGCACCAGTTGATAATGAACATTCAGAGACAGTTTCCCCTGGTCCTCAACCCTCAGGCTCTGATGGGCACCTTGAGATCAGTGCAGAGGGACTCAGCAAGTCACCAGGGCAGCAGCCGCCTGCCAAAGAACACAGCACAGCATACAGAGACCATGTCTAACACTGTCTCCTTTGTGAGTGTATGCGCATGTGTGTATATGTGCATGTGCACACATACACACACATGTATAGGCAGGATCAAGTTCATGTGTGTGTGGAGGTCAGAGGTCAACTTCAGCATTGTTCCCCAAATTCTGTCCACCTTGTTGGGCTGGGATTTTTGTTGTTTTTCAAGATTATCTTTGTGTGTAGGGTGTGTGTTTATGCCTTCAATGGCCAGAAGAGGGTGGCGTTGAATCCCCTGGAACTAGAGTTGCAGGCCATTGTGAGGAACAGTGTGGTTGCTGGAAAAATGAACTTGGGTCCTCTGCAAGAGCAGCAAGTGATCTTCACAACCGAACAATCTCCCCAGACCCACCTTGTTTGGTGAGACCAGGTCTCTCACTGGCCTCATAATGACCAAGTCGTTTAGGCTTGCCAGCCAGCCGGCCCAATAATACACCTGTCTGTGCCTTCCCAGCTCTGGAATCCCGAGCATACTAAAGGCCCAACTTCTTGTGAGTTCTGGGGGTCTAAACACGGATCCTCCTGACTGCCTAGCAAAAACTTTACCGCCGAAGCCAATTCTCCAACGCCCACACTATTTTTTGAGACAGAGTCTCTCGCTGGCCTGGAGTTCACCCGAGTAGGTTAGGGCAGCTGGACGGTGAGCCCGGGAATCTTCCTGTCTGCTGGGACTACAAGCACCCAGCACCTTGATTGGCTTGGGATGGAATTCAGGTCCTCAAACTGCAAGGCAAGCAAGCCCTTTCCAACTGAACCACCTCCCCACCCCTGCTGTTTAATTTCATTTTTAACAGAGACATAGCCTGTGGGCTTCACGCTGCTCTCCACAAAGCACAAGGCCCCTTTAGTGTTCTTAACTGGGGGCGGGGCTTACTGGCACTTTATTGTCACGCTGCAGAGTCTGTGGTAAAGAGCTGTTACTGGCTCCAGGTTACCCAGACAGGAAGTGAAGAAAGGGCTTTGAATCCGGGCCAGGTTGGCTACAGAGCCTGTGCCAAGTTGTGTATACCTTTGAGCTCCTGTCCTGGGGATGTAATCGGAAATACAAACAAAGTATTTTTGAGTACAGAGATAATGCCCAGCCTTCTGCTTATCACACCCGGCACCGTCTGCGTGGAAAGAATTTGGTGAAGCTAAAGCACAGAAATTACTGTGCTCCATTTAAAGTGGCTTTGCAAAGGATTTTTGTTTCTTGTTTTGGTTTTTTTTTTTTTTCCTGTGTTGCTGGGAATTGAACCCAGGTCTTTGTGACTGCTAGGCAAACATTCTTGCTCTAAGCTACATCCTCAGCCTGATAGAACCTGAGATTCTGGCTTGAGGTTTCTTTTCTTATTGGGTTTTGTTATTGTTGTTTGTTTATTTGTTTGTTTTTCTTTCTCTCTCTTCTATAGTTTACAGTTTCATACATTTATATGAATTATAGCCGCTTGCATACACACACACACACACACACACACACACACACACTGGCGCCATGGCACTGGTATGAACTTCTCTATGTTTATTACATTTTTTATACTTCCCAATGTGCTTAAAGCATTCTTTTCCTAGTTGGGGAAATTTTTCCTTAAGGAAAACCTTAACATTTGGCAGCTGCAGTTTTCATATTTCATAATATTTTTAAAGAGCATTGTGAGCCAGGAGTAGTGGGAACTTAGGGTGACCCAAAAGCTATCCTTAGAGGAGGAGAGGTGCCATAGACGGCTAAAACAGAGGGGCCTGCAGTTAAAACTCTTAGGAAAAGCTCCAAGGTAACTGGCGGCCTTAACCACCAGCAGGCACAGCCCAGCCCACCCTCTGCTAGAGGCACAGGAGATTGGGGTCCTCAACACTTATCTGCAGCCCTGTAGTCCTGCAGCCTGGCTGGCCACACTCTTCTCTTCCTTTTTTTCCATTCTTCCTTTTATCTTTTTTCATTTTTGTTGTTGTTGTTGTTCTTACTCTGGGGAAGCAGCCTGGAAAGGGCCTGAATTACTGAGTTACGGAAGACAGACAGCATTGCAGACATGTCTGACAAGCAACTATCTCAGGCCCAGGAGACCCTCTCTGAATGCGGACGTGGTCCCATGAGGAAGGCGCCACTCTCGCGTCTTTCCCCCATTGTCACCAAACTTAAGTCATTCAGATTCTTTTTATAACGGGAGGTGCAGCCCCCTCTATCCCTCGTGTCCAGTGCCTGGCCCAGGGCTTTTCTTACAGCTGTCATTCTGGGACAGAGCTGAAGGAGGAAAAGGAAGGAAGGAAGGTAGAGGAGGAGCCAACGCATTTTAACTTGGGTCCAGATTCCAAGCCAGTCCTACCTCTGCACTCCTCGGACTGTATGCACGCTAGGGCCACCCAGGTGGCCAGAGCGAGGGTATGGCCTTGAACCCAGCAGTTTCTAGAACTCCCAGGGGACTCTGCTGTGCCTGTCAGAGGTAAAGGCAGCAGCAGAGTGAGGCTGTGACTCATCTGTCGCCAGGTGAGGTGACACTCCTCCCTCCTTATGTGGCTTGTGCTTAAAATAATCAGCATAATTAAGTCTAATATTAGAAGACTAGAAACTAAAGAGAAGATGAGATGTCAAGTTTGGTCTTTTTCCCCACTCATAAGGAACTACTCACAGGGCATTTTGTAGGACAAGGCCTGCCCTGCAGGAGCGAGGGGCTGGGGAGAGAGGGTGGGCACAGGCGGGGCTGTAGACGTTCAAAGACAGACAGGGTCTGGGAGGCACTGCTGAGCCACGGGAAAATGGACGGGGTGGCGAGTGGGTGAATCAGTGAAGAAAGCTCGTGGTTCTGGAGAAGGTGGTCTGTGGATTGCAGTGTGGGAGAGTCAGGGATGTATCCCAGGTGCCCGAGAACCCGTGTGTGACCACCTGGCTAGGAGGGACCGTGTGGGCTGCTTGACCTCACAGGATGCTAGGAGGGAGAGATTAAGACCCTGTATGGAGGAGATGTCAAACATCACAGAAAGGACACCTCTAACTGGGGGACTCTGGAAAGGAGGGACATCCGGGAAGAGTTAGAACTTGAGAATGGGCTGAGAGAACCTGACCAGTGTTGTCTAGCCATGGGCAACACAGACTGGGTGGGCCCAAGCCAACAGCTGATCACCAAACAGTTCTGGGGCTGTTCACTGTTGTTTTCCATCTGCCCCCAGGGAAAAGGGCAGAGGCTACCCAGTGAGCTGTCTCCTCTCTGCCTCCCCCCAGGTTTTTTTTTTTTTAATGAAATAAAATCTTGTCTTCGTCCCACCGCACTGAGCCATGAGGGTCCACGTAGACAGCCTGTCTATCTAGGTTCTTTTATTTCCCTGTTAGCCCTGCCTAACTTTCTATTTACCAAGGACACAAGCTCTTTACAGCTTGCTCAACTGAAACTCCAATCTTTTCTACTTTACAAGATAAGACGCCAAACCATAAGCCTACCATCTGGCAAAGGAGAGGGCGCCAGACCCCAGTCTTGGACTTGGTACAAATGTCCTTCAAGTCCCCAGAACAGGTGCAGGGAAAGTGCGGCTCGACGTTCCCATAACGAGATTAAATGAGAAAACACACCAAACACGAAATAACTCCAGCCAAAGAACAAGTAGCCAAGCCTGTGGTGCGCGGCTGCCATCCAGGCATTCGGAAGCTGAGGCAGGAGGATTGTGAGTGTGAGCTAGCCAAGGCTACAAAAACAACAATAAACTCAAGTATCTGGGCTTCAACTAATAGCCACCTTCAGGTGATTCAGGCAAGGGTGTGTGCCCTGTATCCCGGGCTGCCATTAGCCTTAAGCCCCCTACAACACTTGTTCCTTCAGCATCCAAATGCTGATGTTTAGCCCTGTTCTGAGAAAACATGCCCAGTTTGTCCTGGGCCTCCATGAGCCTTCATGAGAGCTGGGCCCGACGACTGAGGAGCCTGGACTCAGGGATCCCACCTGGGATGGCTGCAGAGCCAGCCAGACACAGCCCCAGGTGCCCCAGGGCGGGTCTTTAAACCCAAGTCCTTCCTGTGCTCTTTAAAGCCCTCTTACCTGACAACTACAAGTTACAAGGTAATTCAAGCATAGACTTAAAAATAGTAGCTACCTTAGCCATAGTTAGGAATATATATAATATTAATTCAGAATGTGATGTGGGGTTGCTCCTCAAGGAAGCTTCCTGCCTGAGAGAGTTGGAACTCAATATTTACATTGAGGATTTTAAAAAGGGACCAGGGTGTCACTTCATTCACTTTTTTGTTAAAAAGAGTCGCGTGCTTGGAGGAATGCCAGGAAAGCAAGTGGTCCATGTCTCGTCATCATCGGCCCATCATGAAGAACCATCCACTAAGCAACCCTGCGCACACAGAAGGCTGCCTTTGGCATGACAGAGCCAGAGAAGCTGAGGGTGCAGCCAGACCAGGAATGAATGGGCTGGCGATGCACGTACTAGCATGCACGTTCACACTTTGACCTCATTAATGCCTTCACTCACTGCGTAGAGGTCAGACATGTTACACAAGATCTCACAGGAGTCCAGAGGCTTCTCAGTCCTGATGTGACCAGGTGACAGCCAGGCCCTCATCCCTTCCTGGAGGGACCAGACGATGCACTGAGCCACCCAGGAAATATACTTGGGGCTAATTAAACTTGATGAAGACAGAAAAGGCAAACACTGACTATTCATCTAGTGTATTTTTTTCATTCAAAATTCTAAATAAGCAAATTTGGCTTAAAAATAACCTGGATTTGGGTTAGGCATGATAACACGTGCCCTTAATCCCAGCACTTGGGTGGCAAAGGCAGGCAGATCTCTGTGAGTTTGAGGCCAGCCTGGTCTACATAGCAAGTTCCAGGACAGCCAAGATTACATAGGGAGACCCTGTCTCAAGTAAACAAACAAAAAAACACCTGGATTTGGAGCTCAGTTGGTAAAATACTTGCCACAAGACTATGAAGACCTGAGTCCAGATTGCTAGCACCCATGGGGAAAAAATGGTGTAGCAACTTATTTAACCCCATAGCTGAGGAGACAGAAGCAGGGGGATCCTTGTAACTCTGTGGCCAGACAGCCTTGCCATACAGGTGAACTCCAGATACAGTAAGGGACTCTGTCTCCAAAATAAGGCAGAGGGTGAGAGAGAAAGATAACCAACATTGACTTCTGGCCTCCACAGATGTGCACACATCCATGCACCTACACTAGCATGCACACACGCATGAGCATGCACACATAGAGCTTCATCACCTACCCAAATAAAGTTCTCATCCTCAGTGCCCGAGAGCTGACATAAGTACAGAGATCCCAAGTGCTCCCTTGGTGATGAAGGGGAGGAAGTTTCCCCTCAGCAAGCAACACCATGGCAAGGAAGAGGCACTCACTGCCTCACGCCTGTGTCTCCAATCACAAGGGATGCAGTGGCCCTCTGGGGCGTGTCCAACAAGCCCAGATCCTCCCAACTTAGCTTGGGTAAAGGAGCCCCTCTGTCGGAGGCAGGCTAACAATCCTTTCTCCCACAGCTGCCACTCTGGGTACGTGGGTGTTCGCTGTGAGCATGCAGATCTCCTGGCTGTGGTCGCTGCCAGTCAGAAGAAGCAGGCCATCACTGCCTTGGTGGTGGTCTCCATTGTGGCCCTGGCTGTCCTGATTGTCACCTGTGTGCTGATCCAGTGAGTATTTACCACCCCTGAGTTAATGTCCCCCAACGGCCTGCCTTGCTGGGAGCAACTAGAATACGACCACACAGAAGAGCCACCAGCTCGTTGTTGTGATGTGAGAGTGACATCAGCTAAGAAGGTTAATGTCTCCCCACCCGGTGTCAGGCAATATGTGCAAACACCTGGAACACGGTTGGGCAATAGCAGTGGTTCTAGGCTCTTCTAGAGATCATGTCAACTCAAAGACATGCTCCACCACTGCCCATGAACCCAGAAACTTCTGAAAACCTATGAGCTGGTCAGGGGCTCTGGAGAGAGCTGGAAACAGCTCAGTGCCCTTGGTCTGCAGCAAAGTTCTTCCTCCCTGCAAAAAACATTTGATAAATTCTGAAGTCAGAGGCTCCCGATGCTATTGCTGCACCCTGGTGTCCTCACCTTCAGCGCCCTCCCTCTTTCCCCACCACCACCCTCTCATCCTCTAAACCGTATCCTCCAGGGAGCTGTGTTGAGCCCCAGGTCAAGGGAGACCACAGGAGTGTCTTATCCTATTAGCTTGCCTACAGCTGCCCACTGACCTGGCTAGTACAACCAGAGCCCTGGATTCACAGTGTTGGATTCCCAGCAGCTGACACCAAGCAGGACTTCACCCCTGGTTGATTTATTCTAAGTCAAAGGGCTCAGAGGATCCTACCTAGTTTGAATTGGCCCAGGTCACTCTTCAGTTAAAGGCAGCCTGGCAGCACAGTTCAGGTTGACTGAAGGCTGGGATTTCAGAAAGCACAAAGGTTATTTTGATGAGGCTGGGTATAAAGTAAGGCCAGGCTTTTGTCCTCCAAAGCTGGCCAGGTTGCACACAGACCAATAACAGACACTGTCCTGGTGAGTTGCTGCTGATCAGGCATCTGGGACACAAGCCCAGTGATGACTTGGCCACCCCTGAAGCGTGATGGCCTCCAACCCCAGGGTCTGCTGGTCTTAGTCCTTGTGTCTTCTGTGAAGCCACTGCTACACTGGCAGAACTTCTCAGCTGGCCCTTTATGGAGACAGCAAGCAGCTAGGTGGCTGGCCTGTCCCCTCAGCCAACTAGGGAATCTGGAGCCAGGTGGTCCAGGGAGCCTAGAGCAGAGCTCCAGCGATAATGCTGGCCCTGTCTGTGCAGCAGCCAACAGGTTCCTTGAGGCTGGTCGGTAACTGTCCTGGTCCTCGGGGTCCTGGCGTGGCTGATATGTGAGAACCCAGGGCTGCCCAGCTGGGCTCCCCTGCCAGGCAGGTGCAACTCAGCCTGTCCCTTCTGTCGCCAGCTGCTGCCGCATCCGCAAACACTGTGAGTGGTGCCGCGCCCTTGTCTGCAGACACGAGAAGCCCAGCGCCCTTCTGAAGGGAAGGACTGCTTGCTGCCACTCTGAGACAGGTACAAGACAGCTTCTCCCCTTTCATTCCTGGGAAGATACTGCTGGGTGGAGAAAATGGCCACCATTTTTCAAGATGGCACAGAGGTGCTGAGACAAAACAGGAGGGAAGTGAGGGGCTGTTTCCCCCTGCCACTCCTGACAGGGAAATCGGCCATGGGTTTGGCTGAACTGCAGCCCTCCTGACAGAAATATGTCCCCCACTCTCCTCGTTACTCTAGCCCATCTTTCTCCGTTACAGCCCCACCCCCTCTACTGTAACTCATTGTCTGTCTGTCGCTGAAGGCAGAGTTTCAGAAGTTGATGCCCCTGAAACTGGCCTAGAACTGGGCCTGGCTGCTGAGAGACGTCAGTGACATTGGATGATGTTGCCCCAAAGTCTCTGTCCCCAGCTTGTCTCCCCAGCTCGGACCCACATTGCTCACTCTGTTTCCCTTCTCTGCCAGTGGTCTGAAGATCCCAGAGGAGGAATTTGGCCAGGTGACCTATGGGAGCCCAACACCAGAAAAGCTTCTTGGGACAATGCCACCGGCAGTACCCACGTTCCTGGGACATGCTGGCAGACTTTCCCTGTGCAGTGCACAATCGCCTCTGTGGCCGTCTGTCCTCTGCAGGCCTCCAAAACTGTGTGGTAATTCTGCCTGCCGGGCTTCCTCAGCGCACCCTAGAGAAGAGGCCAGTAGACCATGTTTCAAGACAAACTGAACAAGAACCTCAAAGGGCTGTCTGGCCTTCTTGCTAACCCACACCAGGCATGGGCTTGGGTTGGTGTCTCTTGCCAGTTATGGATTCAAGGCTGTTTCTTCTCAATGGGCCATCTGGTCCCAGCAGAGACTCCATGGTTGATGTACAAAATGGACAAGGGGAGACGCCTATTGCTATATGAAGACAGCGTGGCCTCCTAGCACCCTTGACATCTCCTCAAGCTGTTGCCAGGATGTGTGTCTTATTTATTAGATAGATAATGGTTTATCTTTAATCTCTTAAGTCAATGCCAGGCATCCATATTAACGATACAAGAGCGGCTGGCTGGGGCGTTACACCAAACACAAATGTCCAGCCACTTTGATAATGCCCGACTGCAGGGAGGGGTGCCTCCCAGGGACTGTAGGGACAGCGGCCAAAAGTGACTCTGATGGGAACAGAACTGCTATTTGGAGGCCATGTCCTCTAAGATGCAAAGCAGAAAAGTCCCCCCAGATACACATGGTCACAAAGTTAGCAAGGCCAGTGGCAGAGCCCCGCCTCCACAGGGGCAAGAGCACAAAAGAGTCTGTGTGAACACCTAGGGAGGACGAACATGCCAACGCTTGGTTAAGTGGATTAACTTCCTCGTGAGCTCTGGCATTAGGAGCGAGTTATGGGCCAAATCCATGAAGGGGACCAGCCCTTTATTTTCCGTGCTTTTGCCTTGGTTTTTGCCTTATTTTCAGAAGGAGAAATTTAACTTTCCTATTTATTTTCAAGCATTAGGATATATATCCCACTGTTGGATTTTGTTTGTTTGTTTTGTTTTCTTCCCTTTCAGAACGCTGGCATTATTAACAAAATTGCTACCAAACCCCACCACTCCCCTCTGGAGAAGGAGACCTGAGCACCCAAGGGTGCTCTGACCCATTGGGTCCACCCTCATCCCTGGGATGCTCAGTACTGTCTGGAGATAGAATGACAGTTAATATATATCGCTGCTTATGGAAGAGGACATTGTCTAACTCAGAAGTGTAAAGCCTGCCCCCATCAGCCCCCCAAAGCCTCTGACACTGCCTCGGGAGAGGGCATTCGACACACCAAGTCGGTTTGATTTCTATCGGAAAGTTTTGCCTCATTCTTTCATCCCACCTTTTTCTGTAGATTTTTCTCTTCTCCTAGGATCTAGGCATTGATCTGCCCCAGGTCTGAACCCTGGCCTGCTTTTTTCACAATAACTGGAGCCCCAAAAGAAGAAACTGGATCTGTCCAGAGCTGTCCTCTAGCTACAGAGCTGACACGGCTCCAGGCGGAAGTCATCATTTTTGTTATTATTATTATTATTATTATTATTATTTTGGTTTGGTGTTTTGTTGTTTCTTTTTGTGAGACAAGTTCTTGCTGTATAGCCCAGCTTGGCCTTGAACTCAAGGTCCTTCTGTTCCAGCCTCCTGAGTTCTAGGCTGATAGGTGTGCACCACCATGCCCAGCAGAGTTTTTCAGATTTTAAAGAAAACTGGTTACGTTTGCTTTCCTTGGGCTATACATGTGGGTCAAGGTCAGGTGTAGCCTGCTGCTCAGAGACCATCAACTGCACTGGACCTTAGACCTCTATCGGCCCCCAGCATTTTCAGTAGGACCCTGTCTGAAGTCCTGACTCGTGGGGACTTACACAAAGGAGGCACAGGGCTTGTTTTCATTTAGTTCACACCGTTACCTTCAGATGACAGATCTTTCCTGGTCTGCTGGAGGCTCCTGGACATCTGACTTCTTTTAAAGACTTTGAACTGACATCAAAGTATTGATGGGAACTTCTTCACTAATGTCCCGTCCTAAAAATGTCACCAATTGTCATCCGAGACTCAGCAGAAGTGGGGAAAATTAGGATGGACATATGATGGCGAAGGCGGAGGATCCCAGGGAGGACCACAGCTTGGGGTCTGAGCATCCCAGTTCTCAGGTCCAGCCAATCACAGCAGCCAATAACCCTCCTGGTGCCTATATACAAAAGCAGATGGCTCAAATGCCCCTAGAAGTGCCTTCCCAGCCAGGTCTTTTGTAAAATAATGGCTCTAAAGAGTCAGAAGCTGAGGCTAGGTTGTGATGAGTCTAGCTGGATATTGTCCCTGCCCCAACAGATGACAGTCCTGCTTTTTGGTGACTGATTTTGGAAGACAGATGCTATTTTCCTTCCTGGGCCATCTCACAGCAGAGATAGCCCTGATTAACTGTACCAGTGCCCTCCTGCCAGTTCACACCGTGCTCTTCACAGCACCCTCCTGCCAGTTCACACCGTGCTCCGCACAGCACCCTTCTGTGAGTTCACACCGTGCTCCCCACAGCACCCTCCTGTCAGTTCACACCGT